GTAGACAGATACCTTTTTCCCAATAAAGTTGATTTGATTATTAACAAAACGAACTTATCATTATTAATATTAATATTGTAGATAGATTTTGTGTGTCCAAATTACCTTGGAACACTCGAAGACTTTAAAAGAGTTTACATTAACCCAATCGAATATGGACTTTATGAATCTGTTGATTCTCAAGAAAAGAAGGTAATTTCAGATATATATGTTTGTTTGGCTTAATTCGCGTAATTTTAAGCGTATATTTTCAATTAGACATCAAGGAAAATGCTTTTTGTACTTAGTCGTATAATAGAGGACGTCGTTCATAGGTATTTACTTTGTTATATCTTTGTCAACATCTGTATTTATTTCTTTTAATTAACATACATTTAATGGTCAATCAACAGGCGGAATGTATCGATACTTGAACGTGAACTTCCACCGAAAAGTGAATTCCTTATCACATGCCGAATGATGGACCGACAATTGGAGCTTTATAAAGTATGAATCGTCTATTATTAAACTATTACAGTTATGATTGTATACAATACACTTAATTCCTTTGCCCTTAGTCTCTTATCAAAAAACTTAGCGCAGTAGGTGCGGGTGGACAAGTAATACGATACGCCGATCTTTTAAGTTCGTATTTTTATTTTTATTTTTTATTCTTTTTACAAATTTAAAGTTATTGAACATTTTTAGTTGTGATTACAAAATTAATTCTTTGGTATCTTAGGCATTCTTTGCAATCATCCATCTATTTTCTTTGTACGTATTATTTATTATATATTACGGCTGCAGTTATAAAATCTCACCTACACTTATCCTTTTAGAATACCTTGGATAAGGAGAATAAAAATATGACTGAAAGTAATACACTTATACCTGCCAACGAGTATGTTGATTTACGCAATTTATGTATAGAATCTTGTGTTTGCGATTATTGCTAACACCTAATTAGGTCAAAAACTGTACGTGAATATATGCATAATATTTGTCGTGAATATAAAGGTGAATAAATTAAATCCTTTTACAATAATTATTAGAGTTATTCTGATTATTGGTTTTCATATTATTTATTTTAGGTCTTGATGAAATTTCTGAGTCGAGTAAAATGCAAATTCTCAAAGAGATCTTAATTAAGTGTGAGCAAATAGGAGACAAGGTCATTGTATTCTCAAAATCAATACCAACATTGAGTAAGTGTCAGTTCTTATTATATGAAAAGAAAAAACAAATGTAATTTGAGTGCTTATAACCTTATTTTTATACATTTTATACGGTATAATAGATTATATAGAAAGGATGATTCTCAAAAGTGATACCTATATACGGATTGATGGAGAGACGCAAACTAAAGTAACAAAATAACCCTGCTATAT